TTAAAGGAAGATGGAACTGTACCAAAACCTTTATTAAACAAGCTTATAGAATAACTGAAACATTTGCAGAGGAAAAAAAATTCAGGAACTAAATTAAAAATTAGGTATGACAGTCATTGAAACAACTGTTAAATAGGAAAGCATCAGCCATAGATTTAAAAAAAAAAACCATTCGACTATATAAAGCTGTGGAGAAATGGCAGATAAAGCAAAAACAACTCTATGTCAACAAATATAGAACAAGATTTGGGGATCTAGGAAAAGATTGGTAATACAGTAAAGAAGCAAGATGCAAATAAATCTGCACATTTCTAAATTAACTGCAGCAAGTCTTTATGCAAGCAAGGTTTTGCTTATTGTACTTCACGAGATTCAGAGACTTACATGGAGATGAATAAAACACCATGTACTAAAAGAAGTAATCTATTAGTCCTGGCTCATATAAAAACAGATTGCTCCTTTAAGGAAATGTTTTGCAAACATAAACTCACATACTTTGGACATGAGATGTTTGTTTTTGGTGCCTTTGAGTCAGTATTGACTCCATGTGCCTGCCTGGTCAAGTCTCTGAAGTTTCCTTGGCAAGGTTTTTCAGAAATGGTTTGCTATGGCCTGCTTCTTAAGGCTAAGAGGGAGAGACTGGCCCAAGATTACCCCGCTGGTTTTGTGACGAAGGCAACACTAGAACTCATGGCCTTCTGGTTTCTAGCCTGATGCCTTAACCCAGTGGTGGCGAACCTATGGCACGTGTGCCAGAGGCGGCACTCGGAGCCCTCTCTGTGGGCATGCGCGCCATCGCCCCAGCCCTGCCTCCCCCCATGGCCCCATCCTCACCAGCAGCCTCCGCCCGGAGGAGAGTTGCCCCCAGGCACGGCCCGCATGGAGAAGTGCAACCAAACACATGGCAGCAGGGACAATACTCCACCCTCGAGCCCCGTCGTGCGTAGATGTTGCTGCGGGGCGTGGGCGGAGGGGATGGCTGCCATGATGCTGCTGGGCGGTGGGTGGTCCTGTAGGTGGGTGGGGCAGGGGCGTAACGGGGGAAGGGCGGGAGGACGAAGCGGGGGAAGGGGTGGAGGCAGGGCAGTTTTTGGGCACTCAGTCTCTAAAAGGTTCGCCATCAATGCCTTAACCGCTACACCAGACTGGCTCAGACCCGATGAGAATCTAGAAAGAATATTATTCTTGGCAAAATTGGGGGAAGAGAAAAGCAACAAATAAGGTGGATGGGTGGGATAAAAAAATAATAATGATCAGAATGTGCATAGAAAAGATATGGATTACTGCTGACATGACAGCTCCAAGAAAGCAAGGATTTCTCTATCCAGTCTCCAGGAATCAAAGCCAACTTGCTGAAACTTCACTAAACCACTGCTGTTACAACGATCGGGCAGAATCCTCGAACAGAACACGTGAGAATGAGACTTAAAAGCTACAGGTCTAGAGCAGGGCTTTTCAACCTTATCACAGATTGTACCACTTTTAGGACATGACAATATTTGGGTACCACCAGTGCTTAGCAAGGTGTCAAAAACTTGATGACTAAAAAAAGGGGGGAGGATTTTGGGTTTTACTGATTAGATTCATTTGTTGTTATAGAAATGGCTAGTTTATAATATTATGGAAACGTAAAAAGTTGAGGTTCAATGTTAATGCTTCCTTCTACTGCAACAGAGGAAGTCTGTTCTTTTTCTCTTCTCCCCCTCACTTTCCCCCCCTTTTTCCTCCCCACTGTGTCCTACTATTTGCTTTTGTATTTTTTGTATTTTATTCTATAATCTAATAAAATATTACAAACTGTAGGAAAAAAAGGGGGAAACTATCAGTTTTAATTTCTTTGGTGGCTGTTCCTTTGCTGAATCACTTTCCCCTTGCACTGACAAATGTATGATGAATTTTTCCATGTTTATTAATATGCACCACTACCAGCTAGCTCAGGGGTCTTCAAACGTGGCACTTCTAAGACTTGTGGACTTCAAGTCCCAGAATTCCTCAGCCATCATGGCTGGATGAGGAATTCTAGGAGTTGAAGTCCACAGGTCTTAAAGTTGCTAAGTTTGTAGACCCCTGAGCTAGCTGGTCGGCCCTTCTTAGCTCTCCTTTCATAATGTAGTAGGAATGCATCCCCCATCCCTTCCCTGTACCCTTAAAGACACAGGAATCAAGTGCAAAGCAAGAAAGGCTCACAAAATAAATACATAAACTCTGATTTTTTCCCCTTTCTTTAAGCTGCCTCACACGCGTCACGTGTCACAATGTTGCAATCCCAGACTGAAAGGCTCTGACAATTGCGAAAAGCTTTAGCTTTAAAATTAATCCTGTTTACCTTAAAAAAAAACTTTCTAAAAGCCATAGACAAACTCAAGATAAGGGGGTAAAACTAATTACATTTGTTTAAAGGGATTAAACCTATGGAAGTCAATACTTTGGACTCATTGCTAGCCTAAAATACAGACTAAAATATTCCAATAATCAAAGCACACAAAGGAGCCTCTGAATTACAAAATGCTGTAAAAACTGTATAAAAATCCTTATGGTAATCCAATCAAGCTGCCAGTTGATCCAGAACTAAATAAACCCACCTCCTTTCCGACATGCCGGCTTTTCATTTCATCAGCGCTGTTTGCATTCTCCTGGCTGGAGAAAACGAACCAGGGGACCTTTACTTCTAGCAACAGCTGCTTCTTCTTCTCTGTCCATTTCCTCCCTGCCGCCTGACTTCTCTTTCTCTTTCCCTGTTGTTTTTTTTTTCCCTTTCCTGCCCAAACTCTGCTAAATAAAGCTTATCAGGTAATTGTTCTCTGGAACATTACAGCAGGATCTGGGCTTTCCTATTTAGTCATCTGAAAATCAGGCAATTAATCAGGAGGGGAGAGCCTAAGGGGGCTGAGAATAGCATCTAAGGAAGGAAACACAAAACTAGCCAGTCAGGATCCTGGATGATCCAACTAGAAATCTTCCAGTTGTTTCCAACACTAAATGTTTAGCTGAGTCATAGGAAAATCAGTGAGCATATGAATTTGCACGAAGCAGGCCCAGACATGCCTTTTATTCAGACTCGGAGAACTGATCTTCTGGATGGGGAAGGTATCCATCAGCATACATGCCATTTATTTGGTTTTGGATTAGCGGATTGTATACATCCAGTCATTTGAAGCTTATTTAGCAAGCCTGAGTCAAAATATGCCTTGACTTAGTTTAACTCTTTTAGTATAACTCGGTGTAATGACATCACACTATCATTTCATCAACCTTTCCAACCTCCAGATGTGTGGGAAGAGCAAATCCCAGGATGAGCAGTCTAATACTCTTAATATACAACTAGACTACCAAACTCTAGTGAAAGTTCCCATTTACTTCATCTTAATTTTTTCAGTAGGTCATTAATAAATATATATTTTAAGGAAACCTTTCCTTCATCCTTGGAAGAGAAGTTGGTGAAAGAGATGAAAGGGGATAAATATTAAGACACAGAAAGAGGACATATATATATATATATATATATATATATATATATATATATATATATATATATATATATATATATATATATATATATATATATATATATATATATATATATATATATATATATATATATATATATATATATATATATATATATATATTTGTTTTCTCCATATCATCAACGAACAGATCATATCTGATTCCATGGTCTAACTTCACATTAATGCAAAGGCACATACAGTCCCATTAGTGACTTCTTCTCTCCCTCCCCCTTCTCCAAGAAATATCTCCTCTTAACAGGACTCCCAAGTCACATAAACTATATATGTGATTTAACACTGGCTTTATTGTCTCCTACGTAAAACCCATAAACATTTAGGATTTCCAGTGCAGGCTTTTAGATCAATGAAGCAGTGATGAGCTTTTGGGATGAATGGCTGTGATGTATTTCTATTTTGTTCTGACCTTTTGCCAGCAGCTGTGGCTGGCATTTTTTCAGAGGCAAAGTGATATACAGTAATAGGAATGGCAGCCCACACTACTTCATTTTGGATTTCCATCAACATATGTCAAATACTATGCAAAATCATGCTAGTGTTGCCCAGGTGAAATAGGTTTTTGCATAAAAAATTGCCTGAGTAGAGCTAAGTAACAGAAGAAAATAAATTATTTCATACAGCCCTAGGCAAGAAACATCAACTGTCAAAGCAAACTCTCAACTGAATGAAAAGAGCTGTACTTGAAACACAGCTAGAGGGCAGCAGATTGAAGAAGTCTGTTAAATAACCACACAAAGGTATTTAGAAATAGCCTGGAACATGACTTTATTCCACACTATTTTGGGCCCTTGGCACTAAATTAACAATATTCCTTTACATCTAAAGACCATTGCCATAAATGCAAGATTAAATTAATTGATATACTTCATTTCCACCACAAAATTTACCAGGTTTGAGTCTTCAGCAACTAGCTAATTTAGCAACAGAGTCCCTCTTGGCTTTTTGTAGGACTAATGAAGTGGTCTTCAAACTTGGCTCTTTTATAACTTGTGGACTTCAACTCCCAGAATTCCTCAGCCAGCATAAAGTCATAAAAGGGCCAAGTTTGAAGACCCCTGGACTAATGTTTTTCAATAAATACTTTAGATAGGTGTCTTTACAGAAACTCTCCAAAAACCTCCTTCACCACCCATACAACTCATCTTCACACAGCCAAATGAAATTCCACAATTTCTTCTCGCCAATCCTGTTTATTAAGTGACAAGTAATAAAATACATCCCTTTAGGGTCTTTTTTTCAGAACTTTTCCCCACCGGTAAATTTATTTAGTGTTTTGCTAATAGATTGATAAATAAATTTACAATTCTCCAGCCAGGTGGGCACTCACAAAACATTACAAGGATTATGTGGTCTGATGTACTTCCATGGCAAGGAAGCTTCAAACAATCCTCAGAAAGAGAAATGGGCCAAGAAAAAAATATATCTTATATTAGGCAACAGCATCTGGTCTCCGAGATCAGGTCTCTTACTCACCACAGAGCATGAACAGCAAGACAAAAAACAAAGTAGCCACGATGACGAGGAGAGTCAGGCCAATACTTTGCAACATCTTCCCTGTGCCTGTGAAGATCTAGGACGGTTTCGGTCTCCCTGATCGTGTGAAGACGACAGAGGAAGGAGGAGGCAATCGCGACATCCCCACCGGCTACAAAGAAGTGAGCAGGCAGGGGAAGGAGCGGGGGCAACCGGCCACTTAGAAATCAGTGAGCACGAAAGAGGGTAGGAAAGAAAGGGGTGCAAACCCCAATACTTGATGCGTAAGGACCATGATTCTCCGTTCCTCTGCTCTTCTCTTCTAAGAACTTGGCGCGAGCAATCAAGAGGCAGTGAGTTCCAAAGGAGAAGGAAGCGGCGGCATGAGTTCTAAGGGGCTGTTATAAACTAGCGAAGAAGACCGGCAATTTTTTACACACACACACACACATTCAAGAGGCTTTCTGGAGCGACGAAGCAAATCCACGGCCGAAGAGGATGGGGAAAAAGACTGGCGGGATAGACTGCAGCTCCCCGATCAGAAACCCCGCACGGTGTCTTCCTTGCCCCGAACATCAGACGGTTCCATTGTTCCCTGCGCAGGAGGGGCAAAAAAAACGAGACTCCTCGCCTCCTGCTCTAGGGGCAGAATGGTCTTTCCTCTGCCTCGAAAATCGGGCAGCTGCAAAATGAACGAGAGGGAGGGCGGGTAGGGAAGAGATGGGGGGGGGAAGTGCCGTTTCCTGCCACCCGGATATGATTCGCCGCTGTGTCGCAAATCTATGGAAACTGTAGTTCAGTGTGTGAACGCTGGTTACCCTTAGGTGCTGGAAAGTGGCACAAGAAGGACTTTAATTCCCATCATCCTTTGGGAACGAAGGCCCGCCTAAGAGGCAGCGTTCTGATCCCTTCTAATCAATGCGGTCTAAATGTAAATCAGTTTAAGAGACTCTGAAAGGCGTTTGTGGCGTGGAGCTTACGAGCTATTTTTTTAATTATTATTATTAAAATCGTTCCATTCTTTTCTTCGGCCCCCGTGTAAAATAAATATTCCTGAGAACCGAGAACATGTGAGAAGCTAGAGCTGTCACCCGCTAATGCAGGGGTAGTCAACCTTGGCTCTTTTATGACTCGTGGACTTCAACTCCCAGAATTCCTGAGCCAGCACAGCTGGCTCAGGAATTCTGGGAGTTGAAGTCCACGAGTCATAAAAGAGCCAAGGTTGACTACCCCTGCAAATGCATAAAGCGAATCCGGGTGTTGGACTGCAATAATCGGGCGCCCACGCGATGACCGCGAAACACTTAAAGAGTTTCGATAGCTACTCGCTGCCGTTTCGTGCTAGCGTTTTTGCAGCCCAGCCTCAGAAGCCAGTGATAGGCAAAGCGTTTACTTTAATTTACCATTTAATGGGGGGGGAAATCCTCAGATTCTGGTACATTCAGAATCCAAAATCAAGGCTGTTTTAAAAGCACGGAAACTCCGCATACACTATTTTTTTAAAATGATCAGATGAATCAGTGTCCATTAGAGTGCAAAACTAAGCAGAAAATATGTCAAGAGTGACAGTACGTCAGCACTACGCACGCACACATCAATTTTATACTGTAGGAGGGAACAAAAAAAATGGTATGTGTGTCTAAATGAGGAGCTAAACTGGATAAAATGACCATTTAAGACCGAGATCCCCCAAACTCTTCAACTCACCAAGCCGTACAAAATATTGGTTTATTTATTTATTTATTTATTTATTTTTTAATTTGTATACCGCCCTTCTCCCATAGGACTCAGGGCGGTTCACAGCATATTTAAAAAACAAATACTATACATAAAAATAAAAATACAAAAAATACAACAATATAAACCCCAATAAAACCGAATTAAAAACCAAATATTGACAGCTGTGTTTCCAATTAAAATGCTTCT